CCTGCAAGTCTTGCTCCCTTTATCAGGCCTTACCTAATAGCCCTTGGACATGATTTTTTGGTCGGTAGTCTATCCTCGGTCCGAAAAGTCTGCGTTTTGTGATAGAGCCACACATTCATATATGATGTGGAAAGCTATTTCGTCTTTTTCTCCATGTAGTCTGCATTCGGTGGGTCCATTGAATATCCCCATCCTGTGCTGATGCTTCATCAAGTACCCTATTACTTGTCTCATCTTTGTACGTGTAAGTCGTAGCACTTCAGTAGCTAATTTTGTTGGAGGGTTTACAGTGATTGTGTCCAAGTGTTTCCAACGGTCCAAATCTTGTCTTTTCCACTATTAATCCAGTATTGACTTTACCACTTGGATTGATATTCCAAAACTGGGCCTGGGGCCTATACATTTCTTAATCTTGCCCTTCCAGGATTTTCTGGAGTCTGGTTTGTTTCTCAGAGATTACGATTGAAATCCATTTTTACTGAAGCCTAAAATTTTCCTGAAGATGGAGGAATTCTTGTTTTTTTTTTTCGGCTTTCCTCTTAATTTTCTGTCTTGTCTCAGATTCCTCTTCATATTTTTCTGATGATCTTTGATCTTCCTGTTTCAGTAACAGTGCTGCAAGCTGACCTTATTGTTCTTCTTATTTTCTAGCGCATATGGAGAAAGACCCAGATCAGATCAAAGTATCCCTATGGAGCTTAACGCCACAGTTTATATCAGTCAGAAATTCATGAAATTCATGAAATTCATGAAATTCAAGCATGCGCACTCTACACTAGTTCAGAGCCAAGCCGACCTGATCCAAAACGCTCTAGTGGAGGCGATATTTGCTACTCCCTCAAATAGCAGCAACCCACCGCAGTTCAACAAAACATCGTTCAGCGCAGGAATCTTATGGATGACCTGCGCTAACGAGCAGACAGCAGACTGGCGCTCAGGAGAAGCATCGAGCCCCTTGGCTAACTCTGGGAGGGTGCAGAACTCAGGGTGATTAAGCCTGAGGATCTCCCAGCAAGACCAAGGCTCCTCGTTTTTGTGCTAGACCCAGTAGCGACCTCAGTGGAAGTCATCAAGACCCATCTTGGGATACAAAACCCAGGCCTGAAGATGCGAAAATGGCTCCTGCTGAGCCGGAAAATAGAGAAGGAAGGGCAGCTCCTGGCCTTCTCTATGAATGAAAACTCGTCCAAGACTCTGGAGAGAACCCAGTTTAAAGGATACTATAAACTGGGACGCGTGACCTTTAGGGCCATCGGAAAGAGGAAGGATGGCGATCAAGGTCATTCAGATTAACCTCCAGCACAGTAAGGCAGACTCGGCGGTCCTTTCTGCTGCTATGTGGAAAGTAAATATTGTCCTGATTCAGGAACCGTGGATCAGACGCGGTGAAATTAAAGGACTGAGCTGTGCTAATGGAGAGTTGATTTACAGCAGATCCACTGTCACTCCTCGGACCTGTATGTACATTTAAAAAAAACGTCAATGTACTGCCCTTAACTCTTTTCTGTTCTAGGAACTTGACGGCAGCCAGAATCAGGCTTATCGGGGGAATGATCGGCCTACTTACCAGAAGTGTGGAGGACCTGGATGAGACACTGTAGGACGAATGGGATACAGCTGCTCATCGGATGTGATGCAAATGGTCACCACACACTCTGGGGCAGTACTAACATCAACGATAGAGGTGATGAGTCTTTACTACAGTATAATTATATATCATAGCAAACAATTTGGATATAGTGAATGTAGGAAATAAACCTACCTTTGTTAAATCAACTAGGAAGGAGGTTATCGATGTGACACTAGCCGCAAATCATATGAGTAATTGCGTTAATTTCAGGGGAAACAACTTCGGAAACCCCCGAAATACAGACTGAGACGCATACAAAGCTAACCTGGAGTGCAATCATCTCAGACTTCAATGAAAATTGCCCACTTACAACAGGGACATCCACCAAAAGAGTGCCCTGGTGGAACGAGAGCGTTGCAGAGTTAAGGAAAACAACTGGAACATAATTCAAAAAAGCCATGGAAACCAGGCAGTGGGAAACATACAGATCGTTGAAAAAGTTCAAGAAAGAGCTGAGGGGATCCTAGAAGGTCTTGGAGGAAGTACTGTGAGAATAAAGAAAGTACTCAAGATTATGCTATACTACAAAGAACTCTGTCAAGGGGCCCAAAGACAACAATCAAATCACTCAAGAACAACCTTGGTGAATACACAAAGACGGGGGAAGAGACGGCTAGGGAACTCGTAAGAACTCACTTTCCCGGCTCGGCTCAAAGATAATTGATCAAACTCAGTGGACTAGATTTCGAAGAGCATCCAGGAATGACGGGCTGACCTCGAAGAAGGTACCTAGTCAATTATGAAAAAGTCGAATGGGCTATAAACACCTTTGACCTATATAAGTCAACAAAGACAGATGGGATCTATCCTATAATGAACAAAATACAAGAACGGAACTGAACTTGCGAACAGGATACTATGTAACATTCTAAGAAGTAGCCTAGTGTTTGGCTATATAGGTACCAAAGGTCTATAGGCGCATTGGGCATCGTTCATATTTGTTATTTATGCCACTGACTACATGATTGAAAGGTTGGTTGGCAACCAAAATAATAGTCAGGTATAGTTTAAAACGTTCAAAAGTAGAGTGTACATTAACGTGTCCTACCCACGAGTACCCACAAGTAATTATCCTCATACTGTAGTTAATATATCCTAGAAGTTACCCGGCGTGTTTTCTTCAGTTCCTCAGAAATACACTACAATACCAAAACCTGGAAAAATAGGACATGTCACGGCGATGACCCATTAGTGTTACATCATTTGAGCTTATAAGACACTGGAAAAACTTGTGGATAGGCACGTTAGGGACGGTGTTTTGGCAAATAGATCACTACACCCAGACCCAATATGCGTATCGGACAGGGATGTTAACAAAAACAGCGCTTCACCAGCTGACCAGGATAGACTACACTGGCAAACAAAGAGGTGATGCTGGGCTCCTTCTTGGATATAGGGGAGCTTCTGATATTTCCTTCAATTCAATTACCAGACCTCTCAAGCACAAAGGAGTTGAGGACACCTGCTGTGTGTGGATCACCTCCAAGCTAAGAGAAAGAATGGTAGAATTAGAAACCACCATCGCAGAGGAGACACTGGCGGCTAGAGTGTATAGGGAGGGGATGCCCACAGGGTCGGGTATTATTCCCACTCCTGTGGTGGAATCTAGTGGCAGAGGACGGAGTACACCGTGCCTTCGGATATGCTGACGACACTGTGCCATAGTCATCATCTCACTGGGTAAGTTAAACTCTACAGTTAGGGAGCAAATGCAAGACGCCCAAGACCGAACAACAAGATGGGTGGATAGAGAAGACCTAAGCATTAGTCTCAACAAATCCACTATGTGGTATTTACCCGAAGGCATAGAATACAAGACCTGGGACCTCTTAGATTAAGGGGTGAAAATATACGGATTACGAACGAGGTCAAGTACTTGGGGGTAACACTGGACTCAAAATTTACTTGGAATCAACATCTGGAAAACACCACTAAAAAAGCGGTTACATCACTCATGATAGCCAGACGCTTGCATGGAAAATTATGGAGCTTAAGACCAGACTTGCTGTATTGGACATACAACATGATGGCGAACCAGAATAAGGTGAAACTTATCTGGATGCCAGGACACAGAGGAATCGAAGGCAATTAAAAAACTGATGAACTGGCAAAGAGAGGTTCAGAGACAAAACTTATCGGGCCAGAACCGGCTCTAGGGATACCAAAAACTATGACCAGAAGCCACATCAAATACTGGATTCGTGAGGGAATATCGGCGACACTGAATAACTTCTAGGCAGAATCATGGTAGGGAATTAATCAACCAACCATGCAGAAAAAGGGCCAGAAAACTGCTACAAATGAGCAGAAGCCGACTGACAACCATAACGGGACTCTTGACTGGTCACACACCAGTAAAGGTCCATCTGAACAGGATGAACTTGTACGTCGGAGACTCTAATTGCAGACTCTGCAATAGGGAACCCGAGACAGCCAGCCTGTTGAACTGCAAGGCACTGGATCGCAAAAGACACAGCATTTTCGGGCAACCAAATGCAGAACCGGAAATATTAATGAAACACCACCCAGTAAAAGACCTGTACATCCTCGCACAAGGCACAAAAATACTGGAGTGGTTGGAATAAACTATACAGGCTAAGTAAAATAAGCCTTCTCAGGCTTCAGAACGTGAGCATTCTCTCAGATAGTCATGCTGCTCTAAAAACTCTGAACTTAAATCGACACTTCGAAGATAACGATGCCTACACGACCTGGAATAACATGATAAGCTCCTGTGGGTTCTTGGGCATTCGGGGATAGAAGGCAATGAAAAGGCTGATGAACTAGCCAGACCGGGCGCAGCTGCACCCTACATAAAAACAGAGAGACTCCGGTATAAAAAAAACTTGCCAGCAAGCTGCTAAATCTCATCAAAGGGGAACGAACCAACCAACCATCGTACTATTATGTACAAAGTACCTACCTACTATTGAATCTGTTAATGTCAAAAACCATACCATCAATTTGTGTAGATTTGCTTCAGTTTTCTCAATAATTGATTATTATTTTTGCACTCACGCATATTCAAGAAAACCTTCAGATGTTTAATGGCTATAGAAAAATTCACCCGATGGTCAACTTGCTTTGCAGAATATAAAATATCAAATTCTACGTTACCCGAAATGAATAATGTAAATAAATAGACACACGATGTATGGTTCCGTATTTCCTCAAATGTGTGATTGTTATTATGATGAGGTTATCTTACTGAAGATATCTGATATTATTGAGGTCGATTAATTTGCAAATTTCCCTGAAGGCTCCTTCAAAAAAAATAAAAACGAATATTCTTTTATTTAAAAGACGTATATTTATTTACATATAATTTATTGCAAACACTATAAACATCACTATCAATATAGGTTACCAAGCTTTTAACTTTGAGCCTCAACTGCCTATAGTAGAGATGTATGCAAAAGATCCAGTAGGACATAAAACCTAAAAAAATATTGAATCATCAATTAAAGTTCGTCATCAAATCAGATGCTTTCTATGGAAAACATCTTGGCAAAATATACTCACACGTTGCAATAATTAAAATGATCCAATTAAGAACACTATGTTCGAAGTAAATTATAATGAAAACAAGCAGACTGACTAATGTTGAAAAGTGGACGAATTCGTAGGAAAGAATCAGGAGTGGCTTTTCCTAAAAATTAATTAACGTCAATGGGTAATCCAGAATATTAAGATTTATTTTATAAAAAAGTTCCTATCATATTGAACTGTCATTAACATGTGAAAGAAATAAAAAAATTACTTCGAAAAAGAAACTATGGCAATTCAATTCATCAGCATGAACTTCTCATAATAAATTTTGTATGCCACTTACCCATATTATACCGGCTAGTAAGATAGCACTAACAAAAATAAGAAAAATCGAAGCCAAAAGAAAATGTTCATCGGCTTTTTTGAAATTATTACTGATCCTCACTATAAAATAAATGGTTCCAATAACTCCAATTGCCTAGAACATAAAAATTAATTTTCAACATAAGTAACGATTCAAACAGCAATATTTAAATTCAAAACAAATCATCTACTTACCAACGACGAAGAGCCCATTAAAATCGCACTAAATTTATGTTTGAAGCAAAACAAAAACCGTTCAAACATGGCTCAAAATACTTGGTACAAGGTTGATTTGTGCTCAAACTGAACTCACTTAAGTATTTCAAAAATTTCCTGGGTTTATTTATCAAGTTTTTTAATCGATTTGTACACCGAACGAATTTAATTTTAGATTCGGTTTGTTTGAATTACAAATACTGGATGAGTGATGCTACACTAGAAACATAAACGAATTTTTATTAACATTTTAAATTTTGAAATCCTCTAACTCTAACGAAGCCCTTTTGGAAGACTTCATAATCTGAAGCTTCATTTAAGTGATATGTTAACAATTTTTCTAGTGATAACGGATGCCAGACTCCAAAAGTGCAGGCAGCGTTTTGGTCAGGATCAAAATAGTGACATCGTTTAGTGACACGAGTAGATGGCATGTATTCAACCACATCAACGAAATTGCAGTGGGGTAGAAGCAAACGAAGACCTAAAACAATTTTTATAAATCTTATAAATTATTGCAGTAATTATTACCTAAAAAGCCTGAGGATGGTGGATTCTTTCTCAACCTACCAGGTGAATTTCTTTGCAAGAAATCCCAAACATCCCAAATTGTTAAAGGATTCAGCAAATAAACTCTCGGTTTAGCTTCTTGTTTCCTATATTGAACAAAATTATTGAATAAATTATATTCGGGATTTTTAAACCAATCTTGCAGCGATCCAGAATAATTGCTTGGGTCCCAGAGAACTAGAGTAACATTTTTATACAGAGGGGATTGAAGAAAATTGAATTCTGGCTTAGTGACTACTTGAGAGTTGACTACACGCACTGTTGTTTTAGTTCCAACATCTTGAGCGAATTTTTTGGTTGGTGCATGGTTGAAACGTAAAACAACGTCATGGGAATCTAAAATAAATAATCTGTAATAATTGAATTTTAATATGCATTTTTTTACCAATAAACTTTCCCAAATTCGAATTTCTAAGAGCTCCAGCACTAGCAATGACAGCGCAGCTATTGAAAGTTTTATTTTGGAAAAAACTCCTTTTTGGCATTGAATTTTTTAAAGGCTCGCTTGTATTTAAGTCAGCTTTTTTTAGTGTTTGCAATTTAGTTTTCATTAATTCGCACGAAACTTGCTCCTGGGGCTTTTGTCTAAAGTCTTCTCTTGGTCCCACATAGTGGACGTTGTAAGTATTATTCAAATTGCCTTCTTTGAGTATGTTACTTTCGTCAGAAAAAGTATTGCCCAGCTCAACAAGAAGCTTTTTTTTAAATTCTTCAGTTTTGTTGCTACAATCTGTTTCATTCGAGAGGCATTGATATTTTTTAGTGTCCAAATAGAACTGGTGTGGATTGGAACTGGGTATTCTTGGTCTACTATTGTTGATGTAAGTGATGTTATCTTTTAGGGCGTGCTTGGAACGTGATAAAATTGTTTGATTCGTTAGAAATCCTCGGTTGTAAAGGTAAATTTGTTTATCGAATTTCGAGGTGGTTGGAGTATCGGGTTTTTCGGGGTTGGTTTCGTATTGGGTCCATAGCACGTAAATGTAACTGCCCATGCCGAAGATTATTAGGTTTAGGAAAATTGCGTTGGTGATTGGAGAACAACGCATCTTGGAGGTTTTTCTAAGTTGAGGAACAACTGAAAAGAGACATATAACTTCAGATTGATTGATTAATTTATAATTTGAATAAAATTTCGTATAAGAGAATAATCAAGAATTGGTCTTGATGGTAAAATAAGGTCTGTGCTAAGGTAGCTATCTTTTGTCTTGGGATTTTGAGAAATTACTCAAGTATAGATAGCTGAAATTTTCAGCGATTCTTATCCACGTGGAGGACTACAAATCCTGATTCTGATTTTTTTTTGTCACCCTTTCGAGCCCATGCTCTGCACTGAAGCTGAAAAAAAACGTCTACTATAGAAAAAAAAGTAAATGTTGCAACCATGTATGCACCGTCAGAGGGAGCGCCACAGAAAACGAAAGTACCGAAACAGAAGAGAATAGGCGACTAGACTACATTTTTTATAGCATGTGCATTGTTCATGTATTCAAAAATCGTTTCATGTTGTATATAAGTTAAACAACACAGATAAAGAGTAAATTGAAACCTAGAAAAATTATATGCTGAGATTTTGATTTTTGGTATTCAGAGCGTGCATTAGGGCGTTGTTGAATTTACTAACATTATCCTGCCCTGACGAGCGAATATCCTAGCAAACAAATTGAAAAATCAATCTAGAGATATTGGCTCAACAACAACTATAGCTGAGTAGCTTCCCGTATTGGACCTCAGTACCTGCTGGTGAAACTGGCTAACTGACCAAAAAACTCTTCAGTATTGAATATAGGTAGTGTTGATTGAAGGTTGCTTGTGGAATTAAAATTTTAGCACAAAGACAAAGGATGGTACCTAATTTGAACTTTTATTGAATTATTGAATCATTGACTTAAATTATTGATTATGTTTTAATGACTCACAATTATCATTAAAATGACGCAGTAGGTTTTGATTTTTGAGGCGAGTTCCACTCACTTTTGAACCTCTGCGAGGCTAGCGCAGGGAGTAACGCAGCACAGCAATTGATTAATGAATAAATAAATGAGTAATCATTAATTCAAGCAAAAATCTTACCTGAAAATGAGGGAGTTTTTCAACTGATGAGTAAAGATTCTGACTTTAAAATCAGTGAGGTATTGAACTAATGAGTAGATTTCATGAGCTCATTTGGACTTATAGTTCCAGAAATAAAGCCGCGTTAAACAATTCGGGGTTTTATCATGTCTCACAGTGGACTTATAATAGTTACAAATCTACCAACTTTGAGAAATTGTGCACAATCTTGCAACACTGAGTGATGACTGGAAAACTGATGCATGAAATTTAACCTTCACCGCTCAACTTCCCAGCGAATTCGAAACAAATGGAAGCGAATTATTTGGACAATTCTAGAATAGGGAATACTGTACCTACTGATTAGAAAAATATATTTGATGTAAAATATTCAGAATATTCGATACTTGAAGTATATCAATTAAGTACTCTCAGAGAGAAGGTAGTAATAAATTGCCAAATTTAAGTAGGTACCTACCTACCAGTAAGTAAATTTTGCCAGTAGGTACATACAATAGTAGTTTGCATCGTTTGCGTAACTAACATCATTGAAAACTTTCTGATATTACCTACAACTTTCACATTTGACATTTCTGGGTATCTCTTCAAACAGGTGAGATAGGTGTTGGTGCAAAATATAGACAATCACCCGGTACTTACGAAAAAATAATCATTACAAATTTAAAAAAAATAGGTAGGTACCTACTTATTACGTCGAAGGTATATTTGCTGCAAACTACTATTGTATGTACCTACTGGCAAAATTTACTTACTGGTAGATAGGTACCTACTTAAATTTGGCAATTTATTTTAAGTAGGTACTAATGTAGGTAGGTACTTAAAAATTTGCCTGCTGAATATTTGATTCTACACCTTCTCCAATTGTACCTAGTTCAGAAAGCGGAAAATGTAATTGAGAAAGGGAAATTAAATTTCGGAAAATGGAATTTGTAATTCAAAATAGGAACTTATTATTCAGAATATGAAATTTGAAATTCAGAAAAGGAACATAATATTCAGAAATGGGAATTTGTAATTCAGAATTGGTAACATGTAATTCAGAAACATGAAATATCTCATAAGAGTGTTTTTTTTCCAATTTTTAATCTTGTGTCGCTAAACACGGGACTACTATCCCCGTTTATTAATTTATCGTCAGTAGAGTTTTACATAAAAATGTTCATTGCGAATCCAAATAAAAAAATCGTATTCATACAAATTAAGTTGTTATTCAGTAGGTAGGTACCTACCTACCTCTACCTAAGCACATAATAATTAAATTTTCATGAAAAATGGTAAAAATCAACATACTTCTAAGAAAATCACCAAAAAGTAAGTTGATAGCTGATAACTTAATTTCCTGAAATGCAATTCAAAATTTCAGTCACTGAACAACTGGCATATCCTCTAATGCTAGCGCCACGGCTAGGAAGGTGGTTGAGTGTCGGGTCGTTCTCTCACTCCTCACTCTCTGTACCTGTGCTCTGTATCTCTGTACATACCACCTACCTTATCGTAAGGTGCATATCATATACTTTTCTGAATTACAAATTCCATCATCTGAAATTAAATTTTCATCATCTGAAATACAATTTCCATTTTCTAAATTATAATTTACAGTTTTGAATTTCAATTTACTATTCTAAATTACAATCTTGCTTTTCTGAATTTCAACTTCTTAATCTGAATTTCAGTTTCCCTATTCTGAAATTAAAGTTACAATTCTCAAACTCAATTTTTCTTTTCTGAATTATGAGTTCCTATTCTGAAATATATGTTTCCTTTGCTGGAATTGAACTTTTATTTTCTGAATTACAATTGAAAAAGGTGTAGTTAAAGAGAGGTTTTCAAAAGTACTTAAAGTATATAGGTACTCGCAAGTATAAATACCTACTCTAAGTACTTAAAGTATTTATAAGTAGTTAAATGCATGTAAAACGAAAAATGTAGGTACCTACTCTAAATTCTGTAGGTATTCTGAAAATATAGTTTAGTTATACTATTTTTTTAAATTTAAGTATATAGGTAGGTACTTAATATTTCAGGTACTATGTACTTAAAACTATAAGTATATTTAAAATACTAAATACTTGATACTTCAAGTACCTACCAGGTGATTGTCTATATTTTGCACCCACACCTCCTATCTCACCTGTTTGAAGAGATACCCAGGAATGTGAAATTTGTAGGTACCTAATATCAGAAACTTTTCAATGAAGTTATTGGCAAGTATACAGGGTGTATCACTATAGTGTGGCGAAGCAGAATTATACTTTTTTGAATGGAACATGGAACATTCCCTATATTATTGACCTATTGGATTAGCCTTTCAAACCTGATTCTAAATATATGTACTAGGTTTCTTAGGTTTATTCCTCACAGTCCAGCCTCTAAATATCACATTTTGAAGTAATAATGTGGATTTTTTACTTGGATGATTACCTTTATATATTTTGCTGGTGGACTCTATACTATACCTACTTCACCTTTTTCAATAAAAATGCAATTATTTCCGGATCATTGGGAGTAAACCTAAAAAACCTAATTCATTTGGAATCAGATTTGAAAGGTTAATTCAATATAGGTCAATAATATACGAGGTGTTCCATTTAAATAGTTCAACTTTGCTATGCCACACTTTTGTGATACACCCTGTATACTTGTAACTACTAACCTCATCGAGAACTTTCTGATAAAGTCTGTCGATTTTAATCTGATACTGATACTCCAAAGGAATGAGAGCAGAAATCACAAACCAGTTAGAGTAAATTTCATTGGTTGAAATTAGTTTTATCTGACTGTTTTCAACCAATGAAATTCGCTCTGACGTGTTTTCTGATTTCTGCAGAAACAGACCTAATGTCACCTGTTTTTGCCATATACTTCACCCCCTCGCTCTTCATACGGAAAGTGTCAGATTAGAAACGATAGATGATAGGCCTGTTTCTGCAGAAATCACAAACCAGTTAGAGTGAATTTAATTGGTTGGAAACAGTCAGAAAACTAGTTTCAACCAATGAAATTCACTTTGACTAGTTTGTGATTTCTGCAAAAACAGACCAACCTACAACTTTCACATTTGACGTTTCTGGGCATCTCTTCAAACAGGTGAGATAGGTGTGGGTGCAAAATATAGCCAATCACCCGGTACATTTGCTGAATAGATAAACTCAGCACATTAATATTGGCGCATTCGCCTTGCTAGCCAGAATAGAGGGGGGCCTAAAAATTTCAGGTTATGTCGTCATTGTCTGTCAAATTTTAAAAATTTAAAAATCAACAAATCGGGGTGAGGTCCAAAACAATTTGAATTTGAAAATAAAATAATTAGCAAAAATGATAATTGTCAAATTAATATTAACATTCTAAAGACTACGTACATACCAAAATCCACCAATGACAAACGTTTTTATATATATTTTTATTTAAATTTGTATCTTCCTAGCTAAAGAACCCTGAAACAAACCCTTTTTAAAAAAAATATATACTTAAGTAGGTCAACCCCTAGGAGTCTAGAGCATGCGTCTGTTTATAAACCCTTTATAAATATAGAAATTTCAATTGCACTTTATTGATTACTCAAATTGCATTAATGGAAACAAATTTCCAAGAGGAATTTGAGCGTAGCTGGTTGACATCTATTTTAGGCTTTCTAGTATTTTGTACTGGAGTTTATCTATTAACATGGAACGAGGTATAGATCTCCAATAAAACAAATTTAGCTAGACTACATTATCATTCTTTATTTAGGGCAGAGCAGTACACCATCACCACTCCCTAGAAGAAACATACAACAATGCTATTTCTCTAAGCCCTTTCGATAAACTACAACCAGATTACGATGGCAGAGTTGTTCATATTACAGCTAATTTAGTTGTAGATGAGCCTTTAACAGAGCCAGAATATGGAATCTCAATTCAAGCAGTTAAACTTAAAAGGAGGGTGCAAATGTATCAATGGGTTGAGGAATATACGTAAGAATTTGCTACTAAAAACATATTATTGGTTCAAATTGATTGAGAATTTTAGGCCTAGAAACGATGATGGTGATGATATAATTCGTCAGCAATCAACTCAAGATTATTATTATGTAACAGAATGGAGGGACAAACTAGTTGATAGTAGTAATTTTTATATAAGAAGTGGACATGAAAATCCAAAGTAAATTATAAATAATTACTTAATAATTTGATTTTAAAACAATTTCTTTATTTAGGAAAATTCCCCTTAAAACTGTTACCTATGTTGCACCCTACGTTAAAGTAGGGCCTTTATCTTTAAGCCATGAACTAAAAGAAAAGTTCACTGAAATGGAAGAAGTAACTAGCGATGAAAGGCCTGATAGAAAAGATATAAAGTTGCATATGGGTATTTATTATCATTGTCGCGTAAGTATTTCAACAATTGAATTGAATTGAATAAAACTAGTTGTTTAAAAAGGATGTGTGGAATCCAGAAGTTGGTGATATCCGTGTCCAATTCTACTATGCTGGTGAAACTGGAGAGCCTGTAACTGTGATTGCTAAGCAAGAAAAAGGCACGCTGGTACCTTACATGACATCAAAGGGCAAGGAAATTGCTCTGCTGAGATATGGCAATTTGGATATAGTGGAAATGTTTAGTGCAGAGCATTGGGAAGCAAAACTAGCCACATGGAAAATGAGGTTTTATGGAGCGTTTTTTGTTTATTTTGCTGTGCTGTGTTGGTCAAGACTTCTAAAGATTTTTTGTAATTTATTGACTATAAATTTTTTTATTTGATATTAATAATCTTTTTCCAGTTAATGGTATTCCATATCTTAGCAACATTATTTCTGGAGAAGCGACTGATTCGAGGAACTTTTTGGTTGCTGGTTCTGTAGCTCTATTTGTTATTGCTCTTGCTTGGATACTTTATAGGCCAGTTATAGGGGCGAGTTTAATTTTTGCGGCAGTCAGTCCGTTTTTGTATTGCGTAATGGGCGTTTATGGAGCTGCAAATCATATCAGATGAAACTGAGTTTGTTACTTTATGTTTGTATACGGGATTGTTTTCTGAAGTGTGATTTTAATTAAAATTTTTCGTATTTGTTTTATTGCTTCTTCTATTACGAATATTTATTTCCTTTTATTCATTCTTTTTTGAATTCAAAACTAGAATTTGAAGACTGCCGCCAACAGTTATCGATATAGGTTACATACATACATCGATACGTCCTCGATAAAGGTACATCAATGTATCGATGAGGATCTTGCAAGATTACCATTATAGGTATGTTTCCACAGAACTCACAAACCAGTCAGAGCGTTGTATGTTTTTGAACCAATGTAATTCGCTCTCACTGGTTTGTGATTTGTGTGGAAATAGATCTGACCTGCTTTCTTTTTACAAGCTTGGGCGCCCCACGTCGCCCTGAACTGATGAACAGCATCAGAAAATAAATATAAAAACCCCATTCCAAGCAAATTCTTTTACCTTTTCAACTTATAAGGGCCGTACTTCAAGTACCTGAAACCCTACTGATCTTTTAAAAAAAAGGACACAATGTTAATACATAAATATATTAAAAATTCTAAAGTGTTAAAATAATTATTAGAGCATCATCATTATTGGGCTCCTGAAGATTTAGTAGAATCAGGCCTTCTAAGTCCCAAATAAGTCTTGGCGAATTCCTCTTGATTTTTGTCAGCGAATTGGTTGAGACCTTGAGTCCAAGTCACTTTTCCAGCTTGATATTCTTTATTGTGAGCGGTCACTTTCTTAACGTTTTCTTGGAAAATTCCAAACCTTTTCGATTCTTCTTCAGGCGTATCATAATTTTTGTTATGCTGGACCTATAAAATACACAAATTTATTTGAATTTATATGCAAGAAAACAGCTAACTACAATAACATTTTAATATTCAAATGATTCCACCTAATTAACATTTAAAAATTTGTTAGCCTTGAAATTCTTACTTTCCAATCAGCCCATAATTGTTGAACATCCACGGGTTCAAGAAGCAAATCGGATGTAGGTGCTGGAGCAGACATAGCTACTGTAGCTACAGTAATCAGCGCAAAAACTGTAACGAACATGGCTGAAAAGAAAAACGAGATTTTATTGAAAATCAGCACTCGTACAGATTAGATAAATGTTCCGGAGTCGACTGATTGTACTTGAAAACGAGCGCTTGGTTTTAAATCATCGAATTCAGGTTTATTTTTAATTATACAGGGTGTCCCAAAAAGATACCGACAAACTGTAAGGGGTAGTAGGGGACATCAAAACAAGCATTTTTGTTTATATAAACATAGGTATGTCTGCAAATGAGCCATTTGAACTGTAGAGCAAAAAAACTGTTTGGTACCTAGTTTTATTCTTCGCAATAATTAAATCACTATTTACTTATTGATTTTGCTTTATTAACAAATAAATTATGGTTTAGAATAATTGTTCAAGTCAACAGTTATGGAATATTCCGGGAATAGCTTCTACATGGGTACAACTCACCGTATCCTTGCTAACAGATCTTCCTCATTACGAACAGGTGTTTCGTAGACTAAACTTTTCAGTCAATGACCCGACGGTGTAATCTTTGCATTGAAGTAAATGGTCAACATTTTGAACAATTTTTGTAAACCATAATTTATTTGATAATAGAGCAAAATTAATAAGTAAACAGTGATTTAATTATTGCGAAGAATAAAATTATCAAACAGTTTTTTTGCTCTACAACCCAAATGGCTCATTTGCGAACATATGTTTATATAAACAAAAATGCTTGTTTTGATGTCCCCTACTACCCCTTAAAGTTTGTCGGTATCTTTTTGGAACACCCTGTATAGTGGTAAATTAACCGCGATTAGAGTTAAAATTTCAGGAATAATCTGTTTTCTGGGAAATATATTACATTTACTTTGTTCAAGTGGTTTGATTTTTCTTTAATTTGCAAATATTTATACAATTAGTAATGTACTTATATAAATATGTGCATGGGTACTTCAAGAAATAATACAAGTCTTGATTGTAGGGTTTTATTACCTTGAAACATATATTATTGAAAGCTTCCTAAAAATGGAAGGGAAATTCTAGGCACTAAAATGGAAAATCCCAAAGATGTAGGTAAAAATTGAAGAGGGTCTAAAGTAAACTTATAGAAGATATAATTGAAACCTGAAAAAAAAGCGACATCCTAAGACATGGAAGATTATCATGTAGAAAATTATAAATGTTCCAAGACTTAGGCCCTAGCTATTCAGGTAATATCTGAAGGATAAAATTTCAATCTGTTAATCCTTTTGCTTGGTTTGTTATCCACCGACCAAAAGGATTTTAAATTGGTAAATTTATCTTGTAGACAGTTTCCAGTAACTTTATCTGAAAATGAATGAACGGGGCCTCATTGGAAATGCATGTAAGTAGTGTAATAAACTGCTTCAATTGCTGTTTCAAAAAAGGTAAGTACTGAAACTGAAATCGAAATGAGTCATGGTGAAATTCCAAGGCTCAAGTGATGATAATAAACAAATTATTTTGTCGATAGGACAACATAAGCATATAGTAAAAATAGAATCTACTTACACAGGGGCGTCAAACAGGAATGAATTTATTAACAAAAGTTGGTCAAACGCTTCTAAATATTATTTTAGCTTATCACTTGATGACTAACTAAGAATACACATAATTAAATTATGACGAATAAACAAGAATCATATGATGTTGTCGACTACGTTCATCGTTTCACGCAACGGTGCTTGGTAGATACGTTTTTGTCTTCGTTTCGATTTACAGTCGAGTGAGAGATGAATATGTTTTTCTCTTCCCGCCAGAATTGATTTTTCCGGACTTTTCTGCTAGGATAGAGATTTTCCTATGAACAAAATCTTGTTTTTGAAGATTTCCTTTCCAGAATTCATTAACAGCAAATTTTATTCTGCTGAAAATGGATCTAACAAACTGTATAAATTATTCAACTGAAATTATTAACTTTAATCTTATACAAAATAAACAACTTATTCTTCAACTTACAATAAATAATAATTTTATTCGTCCACAAAAAACAAAACATCTCTATACAATTCAGAACAAAATATTATTTTAGACTCACAGGATTATTATGAAGTTTCAAATTTCAAATGAAACACCCTGTATAATAATTAGTAATCTTTTGTTCCTGATTCTTGTGCCTACTCTTATTTAGTTTTCCACTATTACGTTTTATTCCAGTAATATTCTCCGTTGATGAGTAATAAGAGGCTTGCTACAAAGCTATTTCTAGTGAGTGGTCAATAAATGAAAAATAACGCTGTACAAAAAAAAAAGAAATATCTTATTCTACAAATTGCAACAAAGAAAAATCTTTAAAAAATATACATAATTAAATAAATATAATTCTCTAATAAGTGACCATCGGTTTTCTCTTAGTGCCACGCCTTGTCGTAGGCAAAATATGAATCCTATCAAATTCGGCTTGCAGCATTTTGGCAAAAGCGAAATCATATTTTTCCTGCCTTTTCCGTTTTCTTTCTTCAGGAGTTGCATTGGAAATCACTTTTCTTTCTTCAGGAGATGCGTTGGAAAGCCATTTTCCAGAGCTTGGGAACATTTCCTGATTCAAATCCTCCAAATCAGACTCCACGTTACTGGATCTAGAAGTACCAGCTTCAGACCATAAGGTATTTTCTGATCTTGAAGTACCAGCTTCAGACCATGAGGTATTTTCTGAACTAGAAGTACCAGCTTCAGACCACGAGGTATTTTCTGAACTAGAAGTACTAGCTCCAGACCATGAGGTATTTTGTGATCTTGAAGTATCAACCTCAGACCATGAGGTATTTTCTGATCTAGAAGTACCAACTTCAGACGATAAGGCATTTTCTGAGCTAGAAGTACCAGCTTCAAACCATGAGGTATTTTCTGATCTAGAAGTACCAGCTGCAGACCATAAAGTATTTTCTTTGGCTTTTTCAGGATTTCTATCTTCTAATTGTATCTTGGAAAATTTGTCGATTAAATAAGCAATTCTAGTAAGTGGCGGTGTATCGAATATAATTGCAAAATAATTCTTGCTTTGTTTGTTATATTGAATTGAATCACTATTATTATTTAGGCTTGTTTTTGAATTATTTCTGTTTATATCAATCCAATAGGTTTTGTATTGCGATCTGCTTTTTTCGATACTATCTTTAATATGTTTACTTTCATTTCTAAAATTTGTTCCAGTGAAACTGTTCCATTTTGAAATAAACTCATCCAACGCCTTTCCAGTCTTCTCTATTTCTTCAGTAGTAAATCCACAACAATATAAAGGACTCCGTGGTCTTCGTTTGATCATACGTTTTAATTTTCTTCGCCAGCGCTTCTCAATTTCAGTATCTGTTCTAAAATAAGGAAATTAAAAATTAATACATGGACTCTTGGTTCACGAACAATTTTAGAGGCATAGCGACAAGCTTGTAAGTCATGAAAAGCGAATAAGCAAGTAAAATCTTACTCACGATTTGGCAAGGATAAACAAGGTTTGAAGATCCTCAAAGCCAAGTTGGAAATATTTACCTCAAACACTCAAAGAATACTAGACATTTGGAAAAAACTACAGACCTTCTTTTCTGGACGAAACATACCAAAAAGAGTTGTAAATATTCACATCCCAAAAAGAAATTCCATATTAGACAAAAAGAAAAGTCAAACTGAATAGCTTGATACATTCAAAAAAAGAAAATTTATCACTCTGTTACTGGAAAATGGACAAAAATTAAGTAGAGAGAATAATGTCAACTGTGGAATTATTGCTGGAAAATATTGGTTAATAAATTCAACTCAACAAAATTAGGCAGTGACTTTCAAAACTTCAGTAGGGACACTTTTTACATCCTCCCCGCCTTGTATTTTTCAGAAGGGGAGTGATAAAGGATTAATGAAACTTTCCTGTTACTTTTGAACAACTTAGAAATTCCCTGCCAAAGAAATTGGTTTGTTGTCAATGGAACTCTATCATGTTTCTCAAGTTTTTGTTTAAAAAACTTTCAGTTTGTTTTTTTTTGAACTAACTTACAAACATAATCTTTGTATAAGTTTAACTAAGAATTCTGTAGCTATCTTTCAGGTGCTTTTAGTTGCAGAAACGATTAGAATAATCCAACCTACACATTTTAATCTTGAAATCCACACCAAAAAATTGGTACATTTTGCTTTAGATAGTTCCAATTCCCTCACAGAGCACAATATCTCACGTCCCTATTATTCAGACCAAATTTATATTGAAATATACAAACAAAAATCATTTAAAGCCAATTTTCTCCTCCTGAAAATAGACATAGAAAATAAAATTCCCATTTAACATTATTGGACAAAGATTATTTAATTAAAATAAACTTTTTTTTTGTACAAAAGAAAACATCTTCTTCTGCAAATTACAACAAATAATACATATAGCTAATTACTAAATATAAACAGGATTATTGTAAAAGTTTTGAATTATTTAGTGAAATACAATTTTTTGTTAATTACACCTCTGGTAATCAATCAAATAATAGTCTAGTGAACAATGGTTAGTCAGACAAACCATCACAACCTTTTCTTAAACATACTATCACTGTTAGTATATAAAAATAAAGAAAAACTAACTAAGTTTGGGCTCTCGCATATGGAAAACGCAACCCAAAAGTTCCTAATAATTACAAAAATAATTAACTGGTATTTATTCATAGAGACGAATATAAATATATATTTTTAAAAATATTGTACTTTCATAGAATCTATTTTAGAGCTAATTTTAATTATGAATTAGTTAAGCAAATTTTTCCTCAACCAAACACATTTTTTTGAATTAAATTAAACTCTACCCAAGCTAAAATGCCACAGTATGTGTAAACTTTCTTATACTACTATACCAAATACTGGAAAAAAGATCATGGCGAAAATTCTTACTTAGCTACACAGTCAACATTTCATCTAAAGTAACTTGTCTTCTTCTAGTGCCACGTCTTGTCGTAGACAAAACATGAATCCTATCAAATTCAGCTTGAAGCTTCTTCGCTAAAGCAAAATCATCAATCTCTTGCCTTTTTCGCTTTTTTTCTTCAGGACTTGCCTTGGATAAACATAATTCTTCAGCTTTGGAATCATTATCCACATTCTTAGATGTACCAGCTTTAGACAAAGGTACTTTCTTTGGTGCTTTTTTAGGGATAATAGGCGCGCTTTCCTCTAATTTAGATTTGCAGAAGCTGTCAATTAAATTAGACAGTACTACATCCTCCTCAGAATCGCTACTGTCAAAATCTCCAGGCGGGGTTTCAAATATGATGGGATTCTTGCTGGGTTTGTTAAATTGAATCAAATTTTTTCCAATAAAGTTATTTATTACAGGACTTTCTGGACTTAGGCCATTAATTTCACCATTTATGGAATCTATAGCGCTATTATTTAGGGTCACATTGGTTGATTTTGGAATATTTCTGTTGATGTCAATAGATTGTTTTAATTTTATTTTCTTGATACTGTCTTCAGTTTGTTTATTTTTTAAATATGAATGCGGAATATTTTTTATAGAGTTTGAAATTTTTTCAGATTCCTCTATTTCACTTGTATCGAATCCTAAAAATGATGAAGGGGTGCTTGCTTTAGATCTTCTAGTAGTCATATGATGACATGTTTGAGACCAAGTATTACTGCGTTTTACTGGCAAATTGTCATTTTTCTTTGCACTGCTTGGCACGACTATTGTCCTTTTCTTTGGTAATTTTGTGTCATCAAAACTATTCGATTTTCGCTTTAGACTTTGATGAGAAGTTGATGGTAGTTCTTTTCCAGTAGGGACTTTTTGCTTGACTTCTTCCACTGATTTCCTAGTTGGGCCTGAAATAAACCATGCAAATGCTGTTTGCCCGTATCCTATTCTGGGCTTTTCACCTGAAGGTGGTCTAAAAGAGAAATTAGAAATTAACATCAGTATTCAATATCCTCTTTCAAAATTAATTTTAAGTAAAATCGTTTCTTATATCAATATATCAATTATTAATCTTTTAAATAAGTTTTAAAAGAAAGCATTTTTAAAATTAAAAGAGTATGTTGAATACGAATGTTAGGTTTTTGTAATCAAATGCCTGAGAATAATCATCTAAATTTACGTAGTTAAACGTCACACCATGTCATAAGAATAGAAGAATAGTGAGAAAAAACCAATTAATAGAGAGATGGAGAACGAAGACTATGGGAAAAAATTGAACTGTATAAGTATTGGTGATAAAATAATCCTAAGAAACAAACAACTAGCAAATGATTTTAGAAAACTAACCCAAACAACAAAAGGACAAATGCGAAAGGTAAACCACCTTGAAAAATATGTACACCAGAATCAGATCAGACTTTTAACGGAATCCCACACAATTCTCCTGGAATTCCACTGAAAATTAATCAAATTTTGGACTAATGAGTAGAAAGTACATTTCATGAGTGAACTGAGTTCTCATTTTTCAACCTCTGCGGGACGAGCGGATCAAATTAATGAGTAAATTTCATGAATAAATTGCTGCGGAACTGAGTCTCAAATTTGCTTTGTTCGATGAAAATATTCTAGTTAATATGTCTTGAAAGTTTCAGGTCGATCCGATACTCCCAAGTTACTATTTTTCAAACGTGATTTAACATGGATTTCCCAACTTCTTCTGGTATAAAGTTGGAAAAAACCTCATAATTTCATTTCTGAGCTTTAAATTGACTTCAAATTTGCCTTGTTTGATGAAAACATCCTAATTAATAAATCCTGGAAGTTTGAAATCGATCTGATACTCCGAAATATTTTTCAGGATTTTTCAAAGGTAATTTAACATGAATTTTCCAACTTTTTCTGGTATCAAGTTGGAAAAAAACCTCATAATTCCATTTCTGAGGTTTAGATTGATTTCAAATTCACCTTGTTTAATAAAAAGATCCTGGTTAATGAATCCTGAAAGTTTCAAGTCAATCTGACACTCAGAAGTATTTTTTCGTGTATTTTTCAGGATTTTTCAAAGGTGATTTAACTTGAATTTTCCAACTTTTTCTGGTATTAAGTTGGAAAAAACCTCATAATTTTATTTCAGAGCTTTAGATTGACTTCAAGTTTGCATTGTTTGATGAAAGCATCCTTGTTAATAAATCCTGAAAGTTTGAAATCGATCTGATACTCTGAAGTATTTTTCAGGTTCATGAGTAATTCATTCATTGATAAGAAAAATTCTGAATTGAAATGCATAATATTAGACTGACACACAAATTGACGTGTCTCGCAAAAATAGAAAAAGAGAACTTAATTGTAATAAATACAAGTTAGAAAGTAATAGAAAATGACATGCGCGCGCAACTCGTGGCTGCAGTGTAGCCAGATTGTATTGTTGCAGATCATATGTAGACAATAAATCGAACATTATAACATTAAAGAAGTGATATATTGTCAAGTGTTTTGCAACGTCTTAAATCAGACAAAAGAAGAGCTTTAAAGTGTATGTTAACATCGATGGCACTTTTATTTTGATAAATGTTTCATCCGGCAACATCGCACAATGAAAATATGTCAAGTATAATTTAACATAACCTTAAACGACACTGGGATAAGTTCAAGTAATACGTGAAGTATTAGTTTGCTCTTTGTCGAATTACAAGTTACAAAGAAAAAAGAAACAATTAATTCTGAACTCGTCCCTGAATACGAATATGACGCAAGCCCGTAACAAACTCGATTTTTATTGGACGCTCTCCTGCAACCCACGAGTTGCGCACGCACACCAGGTATTACGAGACACAACAATTGAATAATCTTAAAATCATCCACAGAAGTCCAATTTTTCAGAGAAGTAATTTGACAAAAAGACAAAAGTTGTTCAAAATTGGTAGAATCTTGAAATGAAGTATCATGTTCAAAGGGATACTTATGGCCTCTAACAAGTTTCTGAAGTTTCATCAAATATAGCAGATTTGTTGACTCAACCTACCTGTGAAAAGCATATGTTGTAGACTGTAACCCAAATGAAGAGGTTTTTCGAAAAAAAACTACACAAACCTTAAAAATTAGGGTGTTGTTATCATTATAGTTTGTATTGGAGATGTCAATTTTGAAAATATAGAAGTGATACAGTTGAAGGTGTTACATTAACATTCCCAGAAGGAATTATAAATAATTCATCAGTAAGTAGTTGACAATATAATCCTAATAAATCATACAAGTTGTCCTATGGACTAGTCATACAGTATACACTATAAAGAGTTTAAGTAGTTAGTATAGCATGGAATTGGATTGAAACCCTCAAGGAAAAAGAAAAAAGGTCGCACCAGGCAAAGATGGAAGTAGTGGAAACAAAGATATGAGGTCTGTGCTCATAGAAATCATCGAGGAAATCATAAACCTATCAGTACAAATTTCATTGGTTGAAAACACTCAGAAAATTGGTTTCTGGTGAATTGCACCAATCAAAAACAACTGACTTGTGATTTCTGTGAGAACAGACCTATGGAAACAGGTCAAACACCAAGACAGATTCAAATGGACGGGCTTTCTGATGGTCTTATGCTACCTTGAAAAAAAAAAAATTACAGATAATTGAAGAAGTAATTATAATCTTAGGGCATAGTGTGCAAAATATTCCTCTACACTTTACCACCAATAAAAAAAATAAAATTTCATCTACTCACCTTACAATTTTTTTTCCAGTCAGAAGGCCTTTAACAGCAGAAACCTTCAAAGGTACTTTACCAGGTTTATGATATTTCTTATTTAAATCAATGGGTTTAAAATAAAACCTGCATTCTTGATCGATAATGTCACTATTGTCTCCACTGCTACTGCACATAACTTTTCTCTCAGCAACAAACAATTTTTTGGGCTGTTTTTGTTCAGGACTGTTTTTAGAATTTTTGATTGATTGATTTTTAATGAATCGATCCAGTGGACCAGCTTTGTTTGCATTGACTGGTCTAAGCCTTCTGGATGTGGATGGAGCGTTAAGTTCTTCTTGTAGTTTTTGAGCCAATAATTCATCTTTCCTCAATTGTTCTTCTTTGGCTTGTTTTTCATGAGCCTCTTCTTCACTAAGGTTTTTAATAAGAGCTGCACTAGCCATTTCTTCTTCAGCCTTACTCTTATTTTGTTCCTCCAAGTGTTTATTTTTCTCTTTTTCATATTCTTTACGGATGTCCCCTGGACGGGCTACAATAATCACAGGCTCTTCTGAAATATAAATTTATGTTTTTAAATTCTAATAAGTGAAGCCTACGTAAAAATACAATGTTACATAAACAAGAAACCTTTTTCAAAATCATTGTCAAAGCCATGGTATTTGTTTCGAAGTGCTTTTGCATACTGGCTTTGTATTGCCTCCCAAAACTCCTTGTTGATAAATTTGTCGGCCTTTTTGGCGGTCCTGACCCACGAACCGACGCGATTTCTGCAAAGGGGGCACCCCAAAGTTACGTTTTCCATCGTATCCTCGAAACACTCTTTACAGAAGACATGATCGCAGGGCAACGTTACAGGCTCAACGAAAATTGTTCTACAAACTGGACAAACCACTTCCGAGGGTTCCAGGTTTCGGTAATGTAGTCTTTCAACTTTTTTTTTGGGTTTTGGATTTTTCCCGACCATTTTTTATAGAGGAAAACTTAATTTTTCCCTGTTTTCAATCTTTTATTTTGAATGAATGAAATGAAATGAATCAATGAATGTCGAATGAATGTCACCTTGACATTTGACAAAATAGTGACAGTCAGAACAGTAGAGCAGAGCAGGAATTGTCACTTTCCACAAAATCAAGAGCCGGAAATGTACAAAAATTGAGGTGAGAAAATTGAGAAAATTAGAGAGATGAAATTTAAGCGGATTGTAAAAATAACAAAAATTGAACCAAACGCACTAGAGCGTGCTCGGATTGCTCAAAGGTTCAACAAAATAGATTAGCTAATGAGCACTCCTTTGTTCACTGCACTTACTCCTAGCAAACATCACCCTGGGCGTCACACCGAGTGCACACCAGCTAATTCATAATATGAATTATTCATGGCTGGTGTGCACTCGGTGTGACGCCCAGGGTGATTTCGAACGCACTCTTGAATTTGGGTAATTGTAGGTAGGTTCCGCTTGCTCACTCCGTGCACTTCAAGTGACTCCATTCGCAATCCAGCCGTTCGGGTCTTTTTGGCGTATTAAGGGTGACTCCGTTAGCGTTCAGGCCCATCCTCAATCAATCTGGTAGCGAAGTGGCACTTCGGCACGCATGCTAGAACAATGTTGTTTAAAAAGAGGGTTTTACATGCTGCAAGAGTACCTGCAAGTCGATGCAAGCTGCAAGAACTCTTGCAAAAGGCATGCGCAGTTGCAACCCAGCTGTTTGCAAGTTGCAAGAATTCTTAAATTGCAACTTATCGGTTCTGTTCGATATTTCTACAAGTGCAAGACTCTGCAAGAGTATTTTTGGGGGAAAATTTGGTAATTTTTGGCATGCCTACTTTCAATAAAAGTTACTACTTTCAAAATTATGTTTATATTTATAGACTAATGACCAATGAACTATAGACAAAAACTGGAATACGCACACATTGCCATATCTGCCAAAAAAATGTAGCCATGAAAGACAGATGCCACCAATGAACTATAACCAAAAACTGGAATGCTAACACATAACGTTTCATAGGAAACAATTTCTTGTAACATAGTGGCGGCACCAATTATAGTTGTATTCCTTTCACACCTAGGAGGAGCTCCGGAACAGCTCCGGGGCTTCACGCGCTTATTCCTTTGCAAAGACTAGCAGCAATAACCTTTTTTCTATTTTTACTATTAATTTTTGAAATACACTACGATTCATTTTTTACATACAACAAAAGTAATAGTAAACAAGTACCAACTACACATGTAAAACCAAACCGCAAGACGGCGCAAGAAATCTTTAACAGAAAGAATCTTGCAGATACTTGCACTTGCACCGCCTAACTGCAAGATTTATTCAGCTTGTAAAACCCCCTTTGGCACGCATGCTAGGACAATGTTGTTTAACGTTGGCATCCTCAATTCAATTCCGCGCTAGCATGCACGCCGACTCCGAAGTGCAAGCTTTTCGATGCGTGCCGACTTGTGTCATACGCAGTACGGTAAAAAATAATTCAAGTTATCCTTGCGTTCGATATTTTGCTCGAAGAGCAGAGCGTGCAGAGCGGAGCTGTAATCACGTGACCAGCGAGCGCACAGAGCAGTTGAACGCTGTATCAGAAGGCTCGAAATTTTAATAATCGAACGTGGATGAGCCTGCACCGAGTACACTTTTCAAATAAACGAACGGTAAATTTATGCTCGGAGAACTCGGATCAAAATACCGAACGCACGGTTCGTGACCGTGGGTATCAATTTCCCAGCACTCGTGCCGAAGTGCCACTTCGCTACCAGATTGATCGAGGATGTAGCTTTCGACTATACGGAGTAAAGTAAATGGAGTTCACTCCAAAAGTTCCACCTCAGAAAGAGAATTTTTTAGAGTTAAGCTTACTTTTCATGCATCCGTTTTTCCGTCAATCCGTTGATCCGAAAGCGTCATTTACGTGTGGATGCGGGAATGGGTAAAATCATCAAGTAAAATAATTGATCTAATTTTAAAATTTATTAAACATGATGGAGAAATTTCCTTGACAAAGTTAAACAACAGAGGCAAAAACATTAAATATTGTGGAGGAATTGAAGTTCATTTATAGTACACGAAGGACAAGGCAAAAGTGAAAAAAAAAAATGGAAACCGGAAAGTTGGAGTGTCACGGTTGACTGACGTTCGTGTATTAATTTTTCACTCTAATCACTCCTAGATCACGCGACAAAAATCTATTCTTACTCTACTCCAACTCCGTGCTGAATAGCTGAACTCAGGTTAAATAGAGAGTTCTCGTGCTGTCCAAATTTCAAAAATCGTAACGTTATTTGACAAGTATGACAGTTTTTACGGTATTAGTGTTAGCAGTTCATTGGCGCAGCCCGCTACCTAACGGAAGTTAGCGGATGCCTTACCGTAATGCTAAGCTATGTCAACATTAGTTTACGCTCCATTTACGTCTGCAAGAACAGCAAGTTCTAATAATTCCTCCATAAAAAACACCAAGGGAAAATCAATGAAACTCAGGAATCTTCAGGATAATTAAAAGTTGGCAAACAAGCAAAAAAAGTTGGGCTAGATCACTCATTAAAGCTGTTAAAATGTAAACAGAATAAGGGATTAGAGGATTTTTGTGTCGTCGTGTCCGAGAACTATACATTTAAAATACCGTATTGTTAGCGGTATCGTATTAGCGTAACGTCTGAAGCACGAGAACTTTCTAATACCGTGATACGTAACACGCTATTTTTGTTAAAAAGAAAATGCGCATGCGCACTTGTCAAATCCTACGTTAGCGTTAACGTTATTTGGTCTAAAACCGAAATTTCGCGACGAATGTAGTTCATCAATAGTTAATTTGTGACATCATGAGTCTGAACGCTGGCTTGAAGTTGCATCCATGTTTCCGGCGAACTACGTTCAATATGACGTCATGAGTATCTCACGAAAGCGTTTGAGTTCATGGAACCATGGAAGTAGTTCGTCGCGAAAATTCGGTTTGTCCTTGACGTTTTATGCGTGTATCAAACGTCAAATTATCGAAGCAATGTCAAAAAAAAGCGAATTTTGCACAAGTGAGAATGAGGCATTTTACGCTCTCTTTACTCTAGAACAGGAATGACAAAAATTTGCTCTGACTCTACTCCAACTTCCGTGTCGGGTGTCTTGTCAATCTCTTTCATAACCTCAATATCATAAAATAAACAAAACAATAACAAACCAATTATAAAAACAAAGTAATGCAATTTTTACTAAACCATTTCAATTATACAACATGCTTTTACCTAATTATATCCCTAATCTATCATATCAACGCTACTCTATCCAATAAATCATCTCAGCAAACTGATCAAGACTGTGCAACTGAAAAAATCAACAAATACTCTAAAGGTAATTGTAATATTTTCCCATTACTGCGTCTTAATGACAAAACATTGCTTTTAGAAGCTAATACCAAATATATTAAGTATTTAAACCTTATACAAGATGCTAGAAGGAATTATAAGCATTGCAACACGAATCGGTGTAATTGTCATGCCCCAGTTATGGCTCATGATTTGAAGATTTTTAAGGAGAAGGGCATATCTGAGAAACAAGTACAAGCTGTTAAATCAAAGTAAGAAAACCCTCAAATTTCATTCAAACAGAGTTTGATAATACTTTTTATCCATTTATAGAGGTACAAAATATCAAATCATCAATCACAAACTATACAGGGACTCTAACTGTATGTTTCCTAGTAGATGTGCAGGAATTGAACATTTTTTACTGGAAATCTTACCTCAGCTACCAGATATGGAATTTGTGGTGAGTAGCTACTTTTATAATGTGCCTTCTTAATTAGGAAAAATGCATTTGCTAGGTTAACACTAGAGATTGGCCTCAAATTCCAAAAAAATACGGAATTTTCGGCCCAGTATTCTCCTTTAGCAAAACAGACGAATACAATGACATAATGTATCCAGCTTGGGCTTTTTGGGAAGGCGGGCCCGCCATCAGTCTGTATCCAAGAGGTATCGGCCGATGGGACACTCACAGACAAAAACTAGGAAAACTGGGAAACTCTACCAAGTGGGAAGATAAAATTCCCAAAGTTTTTTTCAGAGGTTCAAGAACCTGCTCCGAACGTGACCCATTGATTCTTCTGTCAAGAGAGAATCCTGATCTAGTTGATGCACAATACACTAAGAATCAAGCTTGGAAATCTGAAGTGGTAAGTAATTAAAGATGATTGTTTTATATTGGGTCGACTTTTATTTTTATTAATCAAATTGCACAAAAAACTGCTTTCAGCTAATACACTTACATACTTGACAACATTCATATATTTCATACAGAGTTACTTAGAGTAAAATTCAGTTTTCAAGTTGAAAATTTCTGAAGCCAAAATTTTACTCCCAGCACAACTAAAACACAATATCAGTCTAATTTTACCTCTATTATTAGTTGGAATAAGGTTTTAGTAAAAATTTTGTATAAGCCATCTCTAAAGTAAGTATATATACATGACACAATATAACAACATTAGACTAAACTGGAAAAAAATAAATAAAAATATATGCCACAAAAGTGGATATTAAATGTATGAAATAGCCACAAATCACATAATAATTTGTGGCGTACGCACCGAATCCCCAATATTCTTGTGCGGCAACACCTGCCCCCCATTAATATAAGTTTCGTCTTTGACAATAACATCCTCTCCTAAAACTGTAATGCCTTCCATGCGTACCCATTGGCCCACGGTGCATCTCCAGCCAATAATGCAACTTTCCAGCCAAGTGTTTGACCGGATGGTGGCGTCTCTCAGGATTGTGGTGCGTTTGATGCACACGCCATCTTCGATTACTACACCTGGGCCGATGGTGACATTTGGTCCTATTTGGCAACTTTTGCCTATTTTTGCTGTAGGGTCTACTAAGACATTACCTGGAATAGAAACAAACATTCACATATTTCAATTTTATCTTCACTGCTTTTATTAATTTTTTTGTTATTTGATGTTGATGAGGTTTCTTGATTTTAACTAATTGAAAATAATTATTATTTTGGCTGAACACAAAAACAGGCAAGGGAGGAATCTGAAAAGGAAATGGAAATATTTTTGAATTTTGACCTTAAAACCACTTAGCCTGTAATCAAATGTTATCAAAAATTATTCATTACACTACAAATTAATCAGTTTGCTGATAACAGCAGTATTATATTGATAAATTTTAATTGGGTGAACTATTGATGTTGTGCCATTATTTTGCCAATCCAACTATATGAATTTTACAAAAATGATCGCAAATTTTGTTATAATTTTTAGGTTATTTATTATTACTGCTTACTAAATACAACAAAAATAAAAAGATGAGAATCATCAATTATTTATTTATATGTAGTTCAGAGGTAAACAGCAGTAAAATTTAATCGGACTACAAATCTTGCAAATTTAGAATCATTAGGAATTATATTTATGAGGAATTATACTTTCAGAGGTACAGATTTACTAATGGAGAAAACATTAAATTGCAACATTTTCACTCCAAATCTTTCACCAGTTAACAATAGTTTGGGTATTCCAAGATAATCAATTTAAGTCAAATCTTGACAAGAAGCCTTAACTGAGATTAAAAATTCTATTTCAGAATCTGCTAGATTATCAAACTATTTCAGTTCATCCAAATACAAAAAGACTGTTTTTGGATCCTCTTGCAGCTGAATTTGAAGTAGAAAAACAGTTAAATTTTTCTTCCTGGCCCTCCTAGAGTAGAAATTGAAGTCGAAAAGTACAACATTTCAATTCCTGGCTATTTTAGAGTAGTTGAAATAAAGCGGTTTGAGAATAAGCTCATTTTGCACCCTCATAGAGCTAAAATTCAACTGATAAGAATAAAAATTCTATTCCAGGCTCTCAAAGAATGAACTCTAATTTCAGACCATCCACATCCAGAGATTAATTTTTGATCCCCTTGGAGCTGAATTTAAAGTAGAAAAACAGTTATTTTTTTCTTCCTGGCTCTCCTAGAGTAGAAATTGAACTGGAAAAGTATCGAACTTCGATTCCTGACCATTTTAGAGTTACAGTTGAAATGGAGCGGTTTAAGAATGAGCTCACTTTGCATCCTCATAGAGCTAAAATTCAACTGAAAATAATAAAAATTCTATTCCAGGCTCTCCTAGAATATCAAACTCTAATTTCAGACTATGCAAAGACAAAAAGATTCATTTTTGATCCCCTTGCAGCTCAATTTGCAGGAGAGAAACAGTAAAATTGTTGTTCCTGGCTCTCCTAGAGTAGAAATTCTAGAGAAGATTCCTGACCATTTTAGAGTTATAGTTGAAAGGAGCGGTTTGATAACAATATGAAGTAGTAAGAAAGTTTGGAATGGTCCTTTGCCTATCTACTCAATACATATATTTGCAGCCAACATTAGAGTGAGAAAAGGGGGAGACTCATGAGATTTTCTGCCCTTACTAACGCTATCTCACTCAGGGTTAGAGTGAGATATCTAGGAGATCCAATAGATTTTCTCGAGGATTTTCTGCCCTTCCTAGCGCTACCTCATTCTGGAATCAATTGAATGACACAAAGCCCATTCTAAACCTTCTTACTACTTCATTATTCAAGAATGAGCTCATTTTGCACCCTCATAGAGCTAAAATTCAACTGAAAATAATAAAAATTCTATTCCAGGCTCTCCTAGAATATCAAACTCTAATTTCAGACTATCCAAAGACAAAGAGATTCATTTTTGATCCTCTTGAAGATGAATATGAAGTTGAGAAACAGTAAAATTTTTATCCTGGCTCTCTCGTAGTAGAAACTAAACTGGAAAAGTATCAAATGCTGTCTCAGCTCACTTTGTAAATACTTCAGCCTAGAGATTGAAGTTTACCGGTAATTTTCATTTGTTCTTTTTCAGTGGTAATTTACCGGTAATTTTTCGGTTATTTTGGTAATTTTGGTAATTTTAGAAATATTTTATGAAACAAACAATTGAGACCATATACTACATATACGTTCAAGGATTATATACTTACAGGATTTTTTACCTAAACAACTATTTATCATAATAGTGTTTATTGTAAAACCTAACCTCATAGAAATATAGCAATAAACAAATAATAATACCTAATTCCTAGAACGAAAAACGAGTAAAGAGAATCAAACAAAAATAAAACAGAAATAAATTCTCCTAATAAGATGCACAAAAACATTCGTGGAAAAACATTACACCTAACTCTTGCGGAGAATGTCTTTTCCACCCTTGACCACATCCCTTGACAGCTTGCCAACTGCAGCCGCGGGCGGAAAAGCACCACTTTCTGCAATTGTTAGGTCAATAACTATTTGTTTATGTCAACCCTGAAAGCGCGTTATACAGATTCACAACGAGATGGCGAATAATGCATGAGAAGGATTGTCGCCTAATGTGATTTCATTCAGGAAGTCTTTCTGAAAATTACCGGTAAAGAAATTTGTCGGGTTAAATTACCTTACCAAAATTACCGTTACCGCGGTAACGTTACCACACTTCAATCTCTACTTCAGCGAATTGAAATACTTATTATTTCTAAATATCTTTGACAGTAAGTATCTTACCTAAATACCAAAAATATCTCAGTAAAGAATGATAAAACATACAAAATATTATTGACAAAATCTTGAGCCACATGTATAATTTCCTGACAAGGTAGGTAAAGAATTTTCTCACCTATTACGCCTGGTCCCCTGTACAATTTCTCTGGATCTGCACTCCTCAAATGTTTAAGATACAAGCACATTCCAATCAAAAAGTCTTTTGGTTGTCCCACATCCATCCAGAATCCTTCCAGCTCGAAGGCAAACAATTGATTGTCAGTTGCCATATTAGGAAAAACTTCTTTTTCAATTGAAGTTGGTTTAAGTTCTATTCTATCAATAACACTAGGATTTAAAACATACAATCCCGCATTGATTTTATTTGAAATAAATTCCTGAGGTTTTTCTACAAAGCTTTCAATGCACTTTTGCTCATTGTAAACTACCACACCGTATTTTGAAGGTTCTTCAACTTTTGTCACTACAATGGTGCCTTCTTTGCCGTGCGATTTGTGGAATTCAATCAACTTTTTAAAAGGAAAATCACAAATGATGTCAGAGTTTAACACGAAAAACGGTTTGTCGCTTTTTCTCAAATGTTCTCCAGCCAAAGCTATAGGGCCAGCAGTTCCTAGCGGTTCAGTTTCATGCGAAAACACCATTTTCACGCCCAATTTTTTAGCTTCATCGGCTAGTTCCTGTTCCATTTGCTCGGCACGATAGGAAACCGCCAGGATAACTTCAGTGACACCGACTTTAACTAGGGCTTCCACTTGGTGCAACAAAATAGGTTTATTTGCGAATTCCACTAAAGGTTTTGGACGGCTCAAAGTTAAAGGCCTCAGCCTGGTGCCGTAGCCCCCGACCAAAATTAAGGCTCTCATACCACTCTGATCACTCATTTTTGCTGTTTGAATTAATTTAAAGGTTAACACTCGATGTGGCAACAAGCTGACTCAACGCTCAATGAAAACCAATTACGTGTTTAATTGAATAGGAAAATTGATAAGATTTTAATTATTGTTGTTGTTTGTTTTTGTTGAAATGCCAACAAAGCAAAATAAGGTTAGGTTTTTTGTTTTTGTCCGTTTTAATTTTGGCTTTGAGCGGCTTCTCTATCCTTATTTTTCCTATATAATTAAACAAAGCCAGTTACATACTCTGGATCCGTAGTAGATCGTAAATACTTTAGCACCATCTGTGATTCCATAACTTAGTTTTTCCTTCGTCTTTTTGTCAAGAATATATGATTTGGCGGAAAATGTATTATTTGATAAGGAAAAATTTTTCAGAATAGGAAGTTATTCAGATATATAAATTTTAAAATTCAGAATAGGAATACTAATTGTAGTTTACTGAGAAATTGGGTTCCTCAATCAGTTATATTTCTCGTGGAACTCTGAAACGGCATATAATCTTCTCGATGAAAGCGTTTCCACCTTGATGTCTGGAATTGGAATGCATTCTAAATATCTCGTCAATTCAACATGTATCGATTTCCATTATTAATTTTGTTCAATGGTCCTACTATATCCATACTTATGCGTCCCCATGGACTTTTTGGTACAAAGTTGTGTTGCCAAGTCACTGGTGGGGTGGTTGATAATTGGTCTTGTGTAAGCGTAGTGTAAGCTACCTGATTTACATTTCTTCACGATCTCCTTAACGTCTTTACTTATAGATGACAAATAGAAATTGTTTTCTATTATTTCTTTTGGCTTTTTCTGACCAGGTTGTCCTGAATAAATAGCGTTGTAATAAATTCGCAGAATTTCTGGAATTATTTTCTTAGGAGCTATTATTCTGTCAGTTCGCTGCCACTTTTCTCTTTGTTTATAAATAATACCGTCATCAATAAAAAATGGGGAATTTTCACTCTCCAAATTTTCCTTTATTTGATCTATCGACTCATCTTCCTGTTGCAACATCTGTATTCCTTCTTTTGTCCAAATTCCAGATGATACAGGTCTCAGCTCTTGTCCTCTAGTAACGACAGCTGTCACGGGTGGTTCCCTTTCTTCATTTTCATCATTTTCTGCACGTAACCGAGTTAATGCATCCACATTGCTATTTATTAGATTTCCTTTTCTGTACTGAATCGTAAAACTGTATTCCATAAGAAACATAGCCAACTTGGCTAATCTTAAGCTTGCATCTTTAATTGTCAATAAATACCTACTTGAGAGGCCTATGTTTTGTGTGTTTAATTTAGGTCTTTTAAATTTTAAAATTAAGTAGGTAGCACACATATGTTTATATTTAGTTATTATATTATAAGATAATTTACCGACAATAAAGTTTTTTTGAATTGAATTGAATTGAATTGAATACTTCAAAATAGTAGGTGTTATAAGTAGTTTCTTTAAGGTCCCCAAAGCACTCTCTTGTTCTGGTCCCCAATGATATTTATTATTTTTCTTGGTTAAGAATGGCTCAAGCTGTAACAAATTGCCCATCACAATCTTGAATTTCTACCAAAACTGTAGCCAATAAATAGAACTTCATTGTTATCGGTCGCAATTACAGAGAGTGTTTGTTGAGAATAGGCTTGGGGCGAAGTTTGGGGCTGAGATAAATGAAGTTGAGAACGGTTTCTGTCAGTTTGATTTTGGAAACGATTTTCAGAGACTGGAGAGGTTACCGGCTGACTAATCTTCGCAAAAATAGGAGCAAACTTTCTATAGAATCCAGATAGTCCAAGAAAAGCTCTTATCTCTTTGACATTCTTGGGTGCCGGATAATTCTCTATTATTCTGTTTGTATATCCACCTTCGCATATGAGATGCCCTAGATAACCAATTTTTTGTTATGGTATTCAATTCCCGATAATCTATGACAAGCTTATACTGGATGTCCTCTCCAGGGTGTCTCTTCTTTTCTATAAGGATTGCAGGAAAACTCCATGGTGACTCACTTTCCACGATCACTCCGTCATCAAGTAATTTCTGGATTTCTTGCTTCATAACGTCTTGTCGATGGTACGGTACTCTATAAGGTTTTTTTATTATTAGCTGCACCTGCACATCCTCCGTAATAATTCTATGTACGACCTCTGTTGTACAGTACAACTTAGTTTGTCTTCTGGTGCTTTAGACACGTCACTGAACTCAAGAGCAAGCTGCTTAAGTCTTTGTTCTTCACTCGATTTGGGATTGTCTAAATTTAACTTCTCCAAAATTTCTTTTGACTGCTTTTTGGTCAATACTCCTCCTCTGCAGGGTGTCTCCCTTCTTCTTGGCTTGCTCAATTTCCGCTTCCCATGCCAGACCTATGCTCTTGCGATTACAGATCTACTCATTAGAGTTAATTCTTTCTCTGTTATATTCAATAACCTCACTGAGACTACACTGTCCTTCTTACACAAAACACATGCCACTAGCAATCCTGATAAAGCTTCTTCACATTGTTCGATAACTAAGTGCTGAGCCTTAACCCTTGAAGCTTTGCGCAGAGTTGCTTGACACACTACTTGACTCATCGGCGGTAATATTACCTCCTTTCTCAAATTCACCCGAAAACCATCTTGGTTTCTGTATTCCATGTCCTTTACTGGACCTTAATTAGAATTTCTTTCTAAGTCCTTCCTCTCCAAAACTGGCGCTACTAGCAAACCTGTCAAAACTTCATCTCATTGTTTAATGTGTTGAGCCTTAGCCTTCGAAGTTCCGCGTAGGGTTCCATGGCACACTTCATCAATCATCGGCGGCATAATACCAGAGACGCCGGAAAACTTTTATTCATCAAACCTTCACTTAACAATATCTTGTCATTTACTGGACCTCTAATAACTTCATCCTATCGAAGTGGAATGGATCTATGGATTTCACTGGAACCGGCTGGTTTCCTAATTGATGATGTCAGACTTCTGCCTTTTGGTTTGCCAAGTTGTTGGTTAGCTTTAGTTGTCGAGCGAGAACCAGTCGCTACGAAACTTGGATCCTCTGTTACTAGTTCTAACGTAAGATCCTTCTCCATAAAATCTGTAATATTCATCAATGTTTCATTTCCTCACAAAATTTTTTAGCTCGTCAAGCTCCATTTCCAAGCTCCTAACTCTGGTCATCAACTCTTTTTCTACCTTCTGTATCGCATACTCAACATCAATATTTTCATCATACATTTGGATTTCTTTCTCAAAAACGTACATACAATTGTTCTGCCAATCTACTTTAATACCATATTGGCGCTGAAAGTCTATTCCCAATAGTAAATCTGCCTTTAACGAATCTGTATTAACTAACCACAATGAAATTGTGTCTCACAATGATGTCTCCGTCGAACATCACAGGTATATTTGCCATATTTCTTACAGGAATTTTTTTGTCCTGTATATCCACCAAATTTACATAACATTTTTCCTTTTCAAATTCCTTGGCAATCTCGGGCTTAACTAGGGATACTGTAGCTCCAGAATCTATTAGGGCTAGGTACGACTTATCATTAACCCTAATCCTTACTACATTACAAATTTCTGGGGTTTTCACCTTGGAGCATGTATATATCCCTACCCACCTCTCTTCATTTAACCCCAACTTGCCTCGGCCAAGTCTCGGGGTTCATAGGTGGCTGCTTTCGAGTTTAAAGTCTGCCTATTTGCCGATTGCTGGGTAAAAGCGCTGACTTCCGTGCGGCAATTTTTAGCAAAATGCCCTTCCTTGTTACACCTGAAACAAACAAGCGTACTTCTTTTGCCTTGTCTATATACGTCCCTTAGGTTCGGGGTATTTGAGTAGAGTCCAGCTGGTTGTGGTTTTGACGGTTAACTCGGCTTCGATGAATTGTTTGTTACAGTTATGTGACAGTTAACTTAAAGTTAACTCCGTCCTCCTCATGTAATTCCAGAAGTTAACTTTGAGTTAACTGTCAAAGTAGTTTTATAATACCCGCCCTTAATCTGGTTACTGAAATCTTCTGTGTGTCTGTCCAGTCAGCTAAAATACTGGTTTCTTCTAGAACATTCAAAAATTTTTCGGCACTAGTAGTTCCATCATAGGTAGGTATGGAATCTCATCCTACAAAAAGGTTTGGCATGGCGGTGTAGGTTTGCGGTAATGGGCTCGGAGGGTCGGACATCTTTAAAGTTGCTTCGTTGTTCTCAACTTAAATTTAACTAATAAAATTACAGTTTCTCTTAGTTCACAAATTATTTTTAACCCTACCGATGCTTCTAAAATACAATTAAAATAACGTTTCAGTTGCTCTCAATGTACAAATAATACACCCCACACCTGACACCAATCTAGCCAAGTACTCTATTATTTAGGTTAGATGATAAATTGCGAGCGATCGTATTTGATAGTACTTACATTTAAATATCGCCCTTAAAGGCACTTAATTATTCTAATTTCTTTTCATTATTTAGAGCTCGCACATAATGTTGAACGAATTTGAATGTTCTTTCTTTCACAATTTTCCGTTACTTTTTCAAAGATTCGATTAAATGCGTTTTCCCGAGCCAACAAAATAGAAGAAACTTTTCGCGAATTTTATCCGGACTGACTCATGAATCTTACTGTAGACTCAAGACTCCAGACTCTAAGCTGAATAGAACTGAACCCAACTGAACTGATGTGAAGACTTAAGACTGATTCTAAACTTCTAAAACCGCTGTTTTCATATTTTTCGTTCCCCCAAAAATATTTCGGGGCCACTTTATACAACACTGGCCATTGACCGTTCTTCTACCGAATAATTATGTCGCAATTTCCTGGATTATCAAGGTCAACAGATTTCGTATAAGAATGTGAGAATATATAAATCAATAAATCAAAGGATGCCGAAACTCGTGTCGGCCGTAAATCACCAATTTAATTACTTTTGCCTTGATTTTAATATTTTGAAGGATTTTATTTATGTGATGACACACGCTTGGTGACTAACTAATAAAATTTGAACGTATTTTATAGTATATTATATAATAAGTGTGGTAACTAGGTTATTATCGCACGCGAGGTTTGCAATCTCTAAGGGCGGTAATAACCTAATTACCATATGTATTATAAACAGTATTTTATCTACAACCGTGCGGTAATATACCTTAGTTACCGCATGCTTGTAGATAAAATATTTTGATTAATTTGGGTCAATGCTAATTTAAGGATATTGGAACTTTTCTTCTAATATTAAATATTGGAGATTTAATTTACATTAGATTATTTGATTCAATTTTCATTATTTGATTACATTATTTGAATTTACCGTTTTTGTATATTAAGTCCTTGTAAATTATGGATCTATTTTTCACGGGTCATTACACTGTATTTTAGAAAAAAAATAAATAACTTCAGAAAATATAAATTGTAATTCAGATAAATGCAATTTTAAAAATCAGAAGTAGGAAAATAAAATTTAGAATTGGTAACTTTTAATTAAGAATCAATAGCCGTGTTCGATTTTATCATCTTTTTTGTCGATTTGCTCCGAAATTTTGACAGGCACGTGATTTGTAAATTAAAACTGTCTGATCCAGTGACGTGCAGTATAATGAGCAAAAATTTGACACTCTGTACCTACATAGCTTATTACGAGGTGCATATTATACTATTTTGAATTACATAAAACTGTGTTACATATTCCATTATCTGGAATAATTAAATTTAGATTATCTGAAATGCAATTTCCTTTTCCTAAAATATAATTGACAATTTCTGAATGTTAATTTACTATTCTAAATTACAATTTTGCTTTTCTGAATTTCCAACTTCCCAATCTGAATTTCATTTTCCCCATTCTGAAATTAAATTTACTATTCCTAAATTCAATTTCTCTTTTCTGAGGGCCGGTTTCTCAATAGCAAGTCACCCGGTCAAGCATAACTCCAGGGCAAACATTCCAACTGGATGCGGAGGTGACTCGCTATTGAGAAACCGACTCTGAATTACCAGCTCCTATTATTCTGAAATACATGTTCCTTTCTCTGAAATTGAACATTAAAAATTGATTTTTGGTTTTTCACACAGGGTGATATATTAATAATTAGAAGGCACAAGGTCAAACAGCAAAAAGTTATTTTTTTCTTAGGACACTCTCCACGCTCCACCAGCAGAAGAAGTCTCCTTCGAAAAACACTGCAACTACAAATACTTGTTCAACTTCCGAGGAGTTGCGGCAAGTTTTCGCTTCAAACACATTTTGCTTTGCAAATCGTTAGTGTTTCACGTGGGCAATGAATGGCAGGAATTTTTCTATCCGGCCCTAAAGCCTTGGATTCATTATATTCCGGTAGACGCTAAAGCGACCAAAGAACAGTTGCAAGAGCTAATCGAGTTTGCCTTTAATTACGATGACGTTGCTAAAGAGATTGCTGAAAATGGTTACAGTATGATTTGGAATAATTTGAAGATGAAGGATGTTGGTTGTTACTGGAAGAAGTTGCTTAAGAAATATGCTGGGCTGTTGAATTATAAACCGAGCAGAGATAAAACGTTGGTTGAAATTACAAATTAAAAAGTGTTCCTAATAATTTATGCATTCCTCAATTTTCAATTACATAATTCTAAACTTTATTATCCGTCCTTAAGTATTGACAATAACAATAATAACTATTGGAAGGGTTTCGTTTGCTTAACTTTTTTTCTGTTGCTGTTGAAGTTTCTATTTGCTTTTTAGAAAAAAATAAAATAAAAATAAATGTGTATTCTAGATTTAATTAGGTTTAATCCCAAGACAATATATCTAAATTATATGACAATAAATGTTAGTAAATATATTTACATTTTTATTGAATCGGCTTTTACTTGGGGGAAATAATCCATTATCTAATAAAAGATTTTTTAAGTAAATTTAAATACTTATATATTTCCACTATTTTTTTGTTAAACTTTTTACATGTTTCGCTAAACTTTAGCTTCATCAGAAAGATTTAAAAAAAAAAAAAAAAAAAAATAAATGTAGACATAAAAGTGAAATTGACAAATATAAAAAAAGGTAAAAGCTGGTCTAATTTTATGTTAATTTAAATAGGTATTATACAGTAAATAAATTTAAAAGTGGTGAATTGTTTAAATCTAATTGGTCGTTCAATAAACAGTCTAAAGTTTTAAGTTTGTTTATTTCTAAAGATTCTAGAAGATTTAATTTTATCCCTTTGTTTTCATTATGTAATATTTGGAATTCATTATTAAAATTATGATTTGATTCTATCAGGTGATTTGCATAATTTGAATCTGTTTTCTTTTTATTGAAACAATTGAAATGTTCTTTAATTCTAGTACCAAAATTTTTACCTGTTTGTCCTATATATACTTTTGGACAATCTTTACAAGATAATTTATAAACTCCAGATTTATCACAAATTTTAGTTTTAGATTTATTATTTTTTAAGTGAAAGCCTATTGTATTGTTAGTTTTGAAAGCAACATTTATATCGTTTTTGTTAAGAAATTTGCTAATTTTATTACTAGCTTGTCCTTGGAAAGTAATACTTTTGAAATTATAATTATTTTGGAATTTTTTAGGGTATACTAAATTAATGGTATTTTTGTATACATTTTTGTTTAAAATATCATCTATTAATTTGGAAGAATAGCCATTATTGATAGCAATTTGTTTAATTAGGTTTAATTCTTTTTGGAAATTAATATTATTTATAGGAAGTGTTATTAATCGGTGTATCATACTGTTAAAAGCAGCTAATTTGTGTTGGATAGGATGACAAGATGTATTGTGTATAACTGTATCAGTATGAGTAGGTTTATGAAATATGGAAAATTCATGTTTTTCATTTATGTTTTTGATTGTTAGATCTAGGAAATTTATTGAATTCTTTAGTTCTTTTTCTATGGTAAATTTTATGTTAGGGTGGATTTTATTAAAAGTCTATAAAAATATCTAATTGTCTGTCTGTTCCAGTAAAACAAGTTAGAATATAGTCAACAGTAGAGAAATTTTTTAAAAATTGGATGTTTGTTAATTTTTGATTCAATAAAATCCATGAATATTTCATATAAAATAGGACTTAGTGGATTTCCCATTATAAGTCCAACTTTGCAAGTATATATTTTATTATCAAATTCAAAATAATTTTGTCTAAGGCATTCTTTCAAAACGATAATAATTTCTTCTTTTTTAACAATGTTTATATTATTTTTAACTGATGAAGCTAAAGTTTATCGAAACATGTTAAAAGTTTAACAAAAAAATAGTGGAAATATATAAGTACCTATTTAAATTTACTTAAAAAATCTTTTATTAAATATATTTACTTTTGAATTTCAGATTAATAATAATAGGCATTTTCCTGCATTGAGATTCTAATTTTTTCTATTTATTATATAATAAACATTCCTATTGTACACCTTTTGAACAGATTTACATGCATTTTCATGATATTTAAGTGATATTACCTATATTTATTCTATTTTATGTGATATTAATTATTCTTATATTTAATCAATATTTTAGTGTTAGACTGTATTGACAATAAAAAATAAATAATATTTCCTGTAAAGGGCAAAATTAATCAATTTGAATATAGAATAACTAATTATTAATGGAAGTAAAACTGCTCATAAACATATAATAGCTGGTTTGCCATTCAAACTAAACAAATTATTTTGCTTTATCTTAAAACAAACTTTAACTCGAATCAATAAACCAAATATTGATGAAACAGTGTTTTCTTTAATCCATAATTTTATTTTTTCCAGGCTTTACGAAAATGGTTTATCATAGAGAAAAAAGGCCAAGTTTCAACAAACTTGAAAAGATAAACATATTTGCATTATTTTCTAGCTCAATTTTTTTTTATTAATAACTCTCCTTGTAGAAATAATCATGTAAAGCTTTCTAGTACGTACCAATAATAAAATGATAATTTCAACCTGATAAAACTGCTGCCAAAGTTCTATTGGAATTTTCATTTCCTCCTAGCACGATGTTACACCCCTGATAAATTATTATTACCGTCACGATGGTGTAAAAAGATGGTAATAACATGTAATAGAACGAAGGAAGAATTTCTGGTGCTGCTGGTGATAATTTTTGAGTGATGCTAATTTAAACGCCTCTGGAAGCTCGCGTGCAAAATAATTTCAACTATTTCATCGAGCCTATAACTAAATTAATGCTCTGCAGACATTTTGAGAATTCCTAAAATTTCATACTCGGCTGAACGCTTCTCAGAAAAATCTAATAATTAATTAGTGCGGATGTGAAGCAAAATCTTTCAAGAGATGTTTTAAAGTTGGTACCGTTTTATGATGGGCTTTGTAACAAAGGCATGGTTATGAAAATTATAATTTTTCGATGAGTTTTCTCAGGCTACTGCTGCTAGAACAATCTACAAAAACGGATGTTATTTTCTTGAATAATAGTGTGCGGTATAAAGACTGTAATGGTGTTTAGATGAGGGTAATTTCAAGAGAATTGTTTCAAGAAACTCTTCAAATTGGTTTTACTTGTATATATCTTCAGTTCAGCAGTTAACAACTAAATTGTATTTAATGATGCTGTGGGATCTTTTCAATTAGAATATTTACAATTTAAAATAATGCCTCACAACATTAATAAGGTTGTAGTTTGGTTCATGCAGAAATAAATTTTTCAAAAGTTACAAATATATATTGTTATTCTAGCGAGAATGTATATTGAATCACAAATTTAATATTGTCAACAAAACGCTGTACATTTTGAGAGAAACAATTTCTAAGTCTATTAACCTAGACCAACCTAGACTCAGGTACAATAAGTTTACTTTTAATTTCAAATTTTGGGTCGTCAAGCCAGTTTAATATTTATTCATTCAAATAATTTCTGACCTGAAAACCTACACTTCAATGCAATTATTGTTAACTATCATCTTCTTCGTGATAGGCGCTGAAATCTAAATCAAAATCGAGACCCAAATCAAATATGATGTCTTCGTCTGTGTCTTCTGAATGTTGGCGTCGAAAACTGATTTTGTCTTCAGACTCATCATCTTTATATGTATACTAAAAAAATAATTCCTCATCAAAATTTAATTGAGAATAATACAAATTATTGCTTACAATTTTATCCAAAATTTCATTTAATAGATCTTTCACAATCTTTATTTCATCTGGTAATAATTCCTCACTACTAGACTTCGAAGTTATTCCATCAAACACCCTATCTTCCAATTTGACGTGTTTCTCTTCTTTGACTTGTGTTTTACTTTCTACCGGTATTGGTTTCTGGACTTTTTCAACATACTTATTAACGTCTTTAAAAATATTTTCCGTGTTGGCAGCAAACCAATTCGAAACGTATGTATGTATATCGTGGCTCGGTCTTTCCCTGAGCAACTGCCTGAGAACTATCTGAATAACTCCTCTGATTTCGGGATGTTTGAAAAGGTAATTTTGATTTTCGCGCATTATTTCCACTCGGTGATTATTCAATCGTTGTTGCTGCTTTTTCGTTAGGCAGGCGTAATCGTAATTGGTCATGCCTCTCGGGACGTCGCCTGGATGAAATTGGTAGTCGTCAATGTACACAGTGCTTTTATCCGCCATTTGTATGTTGGGAAATGTAGTTTTTTTTTTGGATTTTTGTGATGAATGACAACCAGAGCTGTCACGAATTGGTGTATTACCAGTTTTTGTTACCTACTTGATTGTTTTCAAAAGGTTCCAAAGGCAAAATATCGACATATTATATGCACAAAATGGAAAGCCCAAAACATCAGCAGTAGACGCTGACTAAACAATATACTTGCCCTCTGTGCCTTTCACCTTTATATAAGTAATTTTTCGACAATGTTAATTTAGTCAGTTGTATTTTATTGTAACGATTAAAAGTTAAGTCTTGAATTTCTAATTTTTAAGTCGGAAATAAAATTTTTAAAAAACGTTAACCAGGCCTACGACGTGTTAGCTGGCGCAGTCGGTAGGATAATTTTTGAGACTGATATCGAATCGCCGATAAATCAGACTAACCAAAAATTTGTGTGAATCTACGTGTGTTGTGTGTCTGAGTGAACTTCCGGAAATCAAAAACTTCAGTTCGTTGGAAACCTGACTAACAAAGCGATCGGAGGTTGGACAAAAATTGACAATTCTAGCAAGGATTAAGTTTTTGGGAAGACAAAATCGCCGCCCAGGAATTTTAACTTTATATTAGGCTGATCATCATTTGCATATAAGTAAAGTGCAAATCTAATATCCGATGATAATATTATTGACGATATAATCGAAAGGTTAAGACAACTTCAATTACCTCCTTCAACTGACTCTGCTTCTAGCGGAGAAGTAATTAGATTAATGAACCAGTCTATTTCTGCACCTAATCTTAATTGAAATGAAACAAACCAAATGAACCTAACGATTTTCAAAACATTTACTTATCAAATTCTATTATTGGAAAATTATCGAGAAACGCTAAATTACTACTACTCATGTTCAAACCTGGGAAGAAATGAAAATTATACTGAGTAGATATTTCGCTGGTCAACGCGATGAAGCCTGTCTGAACAGAGATTTAGTCCTGCTCAGACAACAGAGTAACGAAAAGCCTAGTGAGTTATATCAAATGATAGAATCATGCAAATCTTTTATGTTCATATTTGAATATTCATGAAAATAACGATGCCGCAAAAGCACTGAGGAATCTTTATCATTATTATTACTCAAAACATTTTTTTCAGGTCTAAAAAACCTTTGAGAACTACCATACGTTGTATGCGTCCAAAAGATCTTCCTTAAGCCCTACAGCTAGTTACTTCTGAATACAATACGCAATATTTCCAAAATATTAAAAAAAATTAAAACCAAAAATATCAACAATCTTTTAATAAACCCAAATACGCAAAAACAATTAATTCAGATAATCCAATGAATACGCAATTTTCATCAAACGAATTCATGAGACCTTCATTTCCATCACAGCCTGTATTTGTTAGGCCAGATTATAATAAGACACCTCAAAGATTTCTCACAAACTCTCAAGTTTTCGGTTCCAAATATGAACCTACCACTAACGTCTTCAAACCCAACTCAAATCGGGAACTATCAAGACCTACACCAATGTCAACAACCTCGCATAGTCTGAACCAACAAATAAAAATTTCCATAATTCAGCACCCAGAAACCCTTTTCAGCCACAAAATAATCAACTTTGTAGTTGAAGAGTTATACAACACGATAATGATCAAGATCAATCACACATCATTCATAATATAATATCGCCTATGCTGAACCTAACTACGAATACCTACGTAGAGCAATGTCAAGATTTTCAGTATTACGACCCTACCCAATAATACGAGTATGTTGATGCCTCATCACTATCAACTCCCACATAAGGAAATCCTATTGTACCAACTGAGGTAAATTTTCCCGAACCTGCCGATACCAACACCAATACTTAGAACCCGAAATAATTTTATGTAATAATAATAATAATAGGTACCTACTAGTGAATTATCATACATTATATTTCCAGAACACAACCTGAAATTCCTAATTGACAGTGGTTCTACGAAATCATTCATTGATCCCCAATTAGCAAGTAAATTTTATCCCTCACAGATAAAATATGAATCTTTCATAGTCTCAACCGTCTTTCAACAATTGGCACATCGATATACCTAGTGTTGAAGTACCCGCATCAAAACTATTTAATCTTGGAAAAAATGAATGCCTGAAATTCTATTTATTTAAATTCCATAATACATTTGACGGACTTGAGACTTCTCAGTTTAGACAATCAAGAATTACAAGCTAACATCGATTTATAATAATGGATTTCTCATAACACAAAGATTAAATTGGGGTTTCTCAAAACTCGTAAGGAAATAAATAATATAACTGTTTCAGCACGTTCTGAACAAGTTGTTAGAATTAAAACAAACATTCGACATGGTGAAATAATAATTCCCTATCACTGTTGCCAAGAATGGTAATGCTTAACCACTACCTATATTAAATAATACTTGTAATCCGATAACTCTAGATGTTTCCGAGCCTTTTCGGGTTGAGCAATTTGATCGTAAAGAAATTGAAACAGTAAACTTAAATAACTTTGTGGATTTTGCAGGAAATCCCGAATTCGACCCGTCCTATATTCGTACAAGTCAACTAAATGAAGAAGAAAAGTGTCAAATACTAAATATTTGCAGTGAGTACTCCGATATATTCTATTATGAAAACATACGTTCAACCTTCATTAATAAAATTGAACATTCCATAAAAACCACTGACGAACAGCCTGTCTATACTAAATCATATCTTATCTACCGGAAATCAAATGAAAAAACTATAGACGACAAATATCCCTTAAAGAACAGACCTACCAGATAAATAAGGCAAATGCCAATATTTTACCACCCTTGATTTGGCTAGTGGGTTCCATCAAATAGAAATGGATGAATGTGATATTCCTAAAACAGCTTTCAATACCGAGAATGAGCACTAAGAGTTTACTCGCATGCTATTCGGGTTGAAACACGCTCCGGCTACGTTCCAAAGAGTCATGGACGGCATCTTGCGTGGAATACAAAATGGAAAATGTCTGGTTTATCTGATGACATTATATATTATTGTATACTACACATCACTGCAGCTACATCTAGAACGCCTGAGGACAGTTACATCTAGAACGCCTGAGGACAGTTTTCCAAAGAATCGGAGACTCCAATTTCAAAATTCTTGAGAAACGAAGTCGCCTCTTTAGGTCACGTAGTGACTTCCGAAGGTGTTAAACCTAATCCCGAAAAAATCATAGCCATCAAAAACTATCCAATACCTTCGACAATTATGCCAATAAAGGGCTTCCTAGGGCTACTAGGTTGTTATAGAAGTTTCATTAACAACTTCGCAAAAATCATCAAACCCCTAACAAAATGTCTGAAAAAGGGAGTAAAAATAATTCATAACAGCGAATTTATTGATTGTTCCGAAACGGGTAAAAACCTGTTGGTGAACGAGCCAATCCTCCAATAAAGTCCAACAAATACCATTTTAAAGTCACGTGATTTTTCTCTATCGTTGTTGAATACATCTTAAACAGCGGTGATAGTAAAATTGAAAAAAAAATTGGTGTCTAATTATTGTTCATAATATTCTTACCTGAAATATAATCCGTCACTGTCATCAATTAGTTTGTCAAAGTTATTTTCCAAAATGATACAACGAACAAACACAACTAATTTTGACTATATTAACCATTTTCCAACTCGAAAAGAAGCAAATAGAAAACGGGTACCCAATTCAAGTTCAGAATGTATTACAACGGATAGCAGATGCGACAAAAGTGAGTCTCGCAACGACTGCAAGTATTAAAAGCCCCATCTGATTGGTCAATACTACTTCAGAAATGCATTTGTAAATGCTAGTGGGAACATATCTTAAAATTCAATAGTAATTAACCACCAGTAGCTTTTTGTAGGTGATATCAACGACATAATCAATGGACATACGTTTTTTGCCACCAATATCACGTGACTTTAAAATTGTATTTGTCGGACTTTACCCCGATTTTGACAAAACCTTCAACCACCCTTCAACTTGACATGTGATGCCAGTGACGTAGCCTATAAACCTTATTCTATGGACGTAGCTTTGGGTGCCGTCCTATCCCAAGGGCCAATAGGTCAAGACCTTCCAGTTGCATACGCATCATGAACATTAAACGACTCAGAACGAAATTATTCTACCATAGAGAAAAAATGCCTTTGCGGTATCCCCTCCAAAGTTATAATCGACAACGGAACACAGTCATCACCGAGCTATTGCATATCCATAAAATAAAAATCAATTTTTGTTCCCCAAATCATCCACAGTCCAACGGTGTAATAGAGAGAGTTCATTCCACCTTATCGGAGCATGTCACTCATGTCAGATTATTGAATAATCATCAGGGATCAACGACCCATTTAATATAAATTTAGACCAACTACTCTTATCAGATTACATTGCGGGACACAAAGACAAGACTAAACTTTTGTATTTCAAAATCAATGAACAACTCATTAACACTAAAGAGAAAGTAATTGGAAAAATTAACGAAACCCGTGACAAGCCTTAATAATTTGCCCCAGATCAAAAAATCTTACATCTTAGCATAATAGAAAACGAAGACCTTTTTTCTGAAATTAATAAACTACAAAATCAATTAGGATTAAGTAAATTTCCTTTTAACGTCACGTTAGAAAAGATTCTAGTTTTCGAAAAACTCATTGGAATTAAGGCTTTTACAATAAATAATTAAATAATTTATTTATTACAAACAGCAATCATGAAGCCTCAATCTTTTGACTTCTTTCATTTTTATTCTGTACCAATTAATGAATCAATTCGCAGAGTCGGCTCAAGGTACTTTTGCCAAATAATAAATATTTATTGAAAAATACTTTGCATTTTGCGTACTATCCACAAACATGCCTGTAGGTCCTCCCTGAGTCCTTCGTTTGCCCTAAAACGGACCTGCAAGAAGTCAGAAAAACCAGCCCATACGAGATACAACTTCTGAACTCTGACACACACACACCTCAGTTTGCAAGCAAACCGAAGTTAGTGTTCCAGAATCGATAATTAATCGTCTAGACACGACCAATCAGTGGATACTTATATTTCCAATTAAGGAAACTATCAAAATTCAGTGTTT